ACCCTTTGTGTCTCTCTGGCAAGATGTTCTGCTCCTGAATCAGCTGGGTGGGTCTTGCCTCTAGCCTCTTTGCAGGGAGTTCTGCTGAAGGGTTCAGTGATGGGCCTGCAGCTTGGGTCAAATGAGGATCCCCCGGGCCCGGGTCGTCTCATTCACTTGCCAGGCCTGCACTCTGGGTTGTTCAGGATCCCGCGGCCTGGGTCATCTCCTTCACTCGCTGGGCCTGCGCTCTGGGTCTATTCGGGATCCTGTGGCCCGGGTCGTCTCATTCACTCGCTAAGCCTGCGCTCTGGGTCTGTTCAGGATCCCGTGGCCTGGTCGTCTCACTCACCGCTGGGCCTGCGCTCTGGGTCTATTCAGGGTCCCGCGGCCTGGGTCTCATTCACTTGCAGGGCCTGCGCTCTGGGTCTGTTCAGGATCCCGCGGCCTGGGTCGTCTCAATCACTCCCAGGCCTGCGCTCTGGGTCTGTTCTCTTTTTTTTAGTATTAGGAATTTAACTGGATGCTCTGCTTGCCACATGGGTACTTGTGCCACTGAGCTATGTCCCCATCCCTAATAGTGATTTTTAAAAAATTTTATTTTTGTTGTACTTTTATTTTATTTGAAGACTAAAAACAAAAGCAAGAACAAATATCAGAAAGACAGTAACAGGGTAATATACAATAATACATGTTACAGATTTTCACAACAAGAATAACTGCATAACAATGGTTGATATATTAGCTATTTTTATCATCAAATCTGTTGCTCAAATTAACATAGTTATGAAATATGATATACTTATGGACATGATGGAATGTTATTGTTTGCTTTCAAGAAATCTTAAATTTTGTTCTTGTCTCTTTATTGCCTTTTTGAGAAATATATTTATTTATTTATTTTAAGCTTTTTTTTTTACGCATTTAGTACAGGGCTGGTAGGGTCTCGGTATGTAGACAGAACTCACAGTAATCCTTCTGTCTACAGCCTCCCAAGTGCTGGCATTACAGGCGCGTACTACCACACCCAGTCTGAGTTGCTGTCTCAGTGTGCTCCACGGGTGGGGCTGGCAAGACAGGCCTGGGGATCAAACCCCTGGCCCCTACGTCTGCCTAAGCAGGCACTTTAATCTGCTGAGCTATTTGGCTGGCCCTAAAAAAATATTTTAAAGAGTAATTGATATGACATTAGGAATGATACACATTTAGAAGACCAAAATGACAGGTATTCAAGCATGGTTTTTCTCTTACCCATTGATATTCTTTATGTAGTTGCTTAGTTCACAGATATCAGCATACAGAGTTAGTCAAGGTGAAAATTCTATACATTAACTGCTATTTTCAAAAAAACTGGTGGAAATTCTTAGTACATACCTAGCCATCCTGTATATATACTTGCATGTTTTTTCCTTCTTACCTTTTTTGCTTTTTTTCTTCCTTTTTCTCCTCTTCGTTGTTTAATCCGTAAGTTCTGTTACTCTCCATTGTACTATATCTATTGTACTTTTTAGGCTTTATTTCTTCTTTTCAGACCTTACACTAGGGAGACAATATGATATTTACACATGGGGGTCTGGTTTATTTCACTTATGAGTATACCCTCTAGTTGCATCCACTTACCTATGAAGGCTTTGAGTTTGTTTTTCTTTATAGCTGAGTAATACTCCACTGTATAAAAATACTCCATCTTTTTCATCCATTCCTCAAGTGTTGGGCATTTTAGTTGTTTCCAAGAGTTGGCTATGACAAATTGTGCTGCTATAAACAT